GCGCTGACTCACGCTCCCCACTTTGATCTCCCACTGCCGGTGTCAGCCACCTCCAGCCCCCCAGCAGCCTCACCACACTGCCTCCGCCGCCGTAGGAAGCCGCAGCTTTAGCACTGGATCGCACTGGATAGTACAGCAGAAGCCTGGATCGCAGTGGCCTGCCGGCACTTGGATGGGGAAGCTCCGTTCTAAAGCAGGAAGCCCACTCAAGGTGAAACCAACGTGAAAGACCCTCTGATTTAACATCCATATCTAGGTCAGAATGACCTCTGTCAAGGCTGTCTAGTCTAGCAACTCAAGTGATTATCAGGTTAATTTAAATTCAAATTGTAACAGCGGCCTATTTATTAATTTTGTTTATTCATTTTCACCCTCAAAGTGACTTGTGATGTTAATTATTGACATTTTTACCTGTTTTGGGAGAAAAATGTCACTGAACTGTCAGATCTTCAACCACTGCGCCACCTGGTGGCTCTAATGTTTTTGAAGAAACCTTAAATAAGTATAACGCAACTGCAGTCATGGAGCAAGAGTTCAAATTAAGGTCAATAGTTACTTAAAACTAAATGATCCACAAAGAGATAGGCACCAGGGTTGACTGTATATCAGAGTTTGGGTTTAACTGAGTAAACGGCACCCCCTACATATTTATTGGTGTGAGTTGGACACTCCTGACATGCAGTGTGTGGCTCAGAGGGTTAGGACCCCTGTGGCCTGTACTATGAAGCGGGGTTACTGGTTTATCGGGGTAACTTGTTGGATTTAAGGTACCACAGTTTAAATGGACTTCATATTCGTTCACTTACATTTTGCCCAGACTACCTTAAATCCGACAAGTTACCCCGATAAGCCAATAACCCCGCTTCGTAGTGCAGGCCACCAATCGGAAGCTCACTGGTTCAAATCCCAGGGTTGGCAGAGTGGTGTCACATAACCACAGTTACTCCAGGGACGGCCTAAAAGGTCTTTTTCACTGAAGGATATGGGTGCTGTGCATACCATGGCACTTACACCAGAGCCCTCGTGCAACCACTAGGCAGAAGTCGTGAAGGTACTCATTTGGACGAGTTGTTTGTTAAAAACCAGGTGCATGCCCTTCCAGTTCTGCAAAGGTTATCTGACAGTCCCATTTCAGTAATGATCATATGGTTAGTGGTGCACCTACGTGGTTATTATGACCGGTACCGATAACCGATATATTACAGTCTCATATGGGGAGGTGAGGTGAAACTTGGCAAGCTTGTCGGCAAGATTGACCTTCAGGTCAGATTTTAAAATGAATTATAGTAGTAGTAAAAAATAAATCGTGATTCACCTTTTATCATGCTACCCTCCTGCTAAGATAACTTCTCCATTCACTTCCATGGACTTCCTATTGGCTGCGCCAACAATATGCCAGGTCCTGGGACCCAAAAGTTCAACAAATTTGAACTCTGGGTTCAAGGTCGGCGAGCCACATGATAGAAAGTCATAGAAATGAACGGGTTTCTGCATGCAGGAGAGCATTTGCTGTGTTTGGTGAGAAAGGGCCTTCTCAGTCGTCAGTAATTATATAGAATATCCATATAAAGAAGACATATGCCTCCCTGAGATGGTCTGGATTCACCAGAATAAGTGTCAGTGAGGACCATAGCGCCCACTGGCCTGGCACAGTCGATCTCTACCCCAGCAGAGTCAACCTTCCATCAAGGGAGCCATGTTGCAGGGTACGAAAGGCCCCATCACTGGCTGACAGGAGATAATGGACAGATCGCTTCTGCTGCAGTAATAAATGGCTCCCAGTTGGCCTTCTGTCAGACCAAAACATGAAGGGCTGCAAGATGAAGGCTGATTGGACCAGGGATGAAGTAGCTAAATGCTTATTGAGGGATGCAAATGTGTATGAGCTTCACTTACTGTAGGTTACAACTGAGCCCTTTTGGCACACTGGCAGCAGCTACAATCATGTCACTGTCCAAGTTACCTGACATACACAACCCCCCACTGATTTCTTTAAAAAGGAAAAAAGGAGCTTTGAAATCGACATTCCCCCAAGACTTCAGGCAGTAATCATGAGAAAAATGTGCCAACAACTCCCTTCCAAGCACTATGAAAATGTCTCGTCTTTGGTCTTCCAACATGCAGTGCAGCGAGAACTTCACAGCGAAACAGGGAAAACAAAATAAAGCAAAGGGAGTCAAAGCAAAGTAAAAACAAGCAAAAAAAAAAACTACAGAGAGGCTAGAAAACATCATTTTAAACATACAAAACAAAACGAAGCAAAACAAAAAGCAAAGCAAACAAAAAGAAGCAAAGTCAAAACAAAGGCAAATGAAGGCAATAGTGAGGGTGTAAATTTTCATGAACCCACATAATCAGGACTAACCCTTTTGGAGCAATGTAGGCCATACTGGTCTGATGTCAAAGTTATCGAGAAGCCAGTGAAACCTGCCTGAGGCCGACACACGGTCCGGTGGCTAAGCGGGTATTTGTAATCTGGGGGGACCTGCAGTAATTCACGCCTTACTGAAAGGGACACTGAGCCAGCTGGGCCATTTGGAAACAGCAGGTACCCGTCTACCACCCACACCTGCAAACATTGCCCTGGACTCTGACAGACAGAGACAGGGAGGATGGTCACAGAAAATACTCTGGAACATGAATGAGCATGTGGGGGGAGGGGGGCGTAAGCACTGTAACATCCAAGGTTATTTTTTTGTTTGTGTGGAGATTTCCTCCAGGTACTCCTGTTACTTCTGACTACCCTAAACGAATTGCTGAACAGTTTAACTGATGACTGCATTGTCAGTATTGTGTGTATGAATGGGGTGATGTGTAGCTCAAGCGTATTAGGACACTGTGCCTATGATTGGAAGGTTGCTGGTTCAAATCCCAGGGTTGGCAGAGTGATTACATGAGCAAGGCCCTTAACCCCCATTTGCTTCAGGGACGGTCTGTCCCTGTTTTCTCAGTGGCTCAGCTGACCGTGGTTCCTGAAAATGTCAGTGAAAGCCTGAATGTGTAAGGCAATGTGCTCCTCTGCTATGAGCTTCCTGGGCTCAGAGTCACTGTGGCCCATCCTGGATAAATATCATTATGGAAGATGGATGGATATCATGATAGAAGGAAAAAGGAGGAAAAAGAGCAAGATGGAGAATCCCTGCCGCCTTCATCCCCAGGGCAGCTGTGAATGCGATCGCTACTGTGATCGCAATCTGTGAAGCAGCGATTGTCACGCTTCTCCCGCTAATGGATAAACGGAAGAGAAAATGTAACTTTAATTACCTGTTGGTTGCAAATTTAAAACATGTTAATCACATCTTACTCAGCCCGCCAGCCTTCATTTGATAAGTGGAACGGTGAGCTTTTCTTTCGTCTGCAAAAACTGTTATCGGAATCAGCTACCCGGCTTAACGCCAGCTGTCATAAAAATTGGGGATCTCTCGGCCATATGAGAAGACGTGGAAATGAGGCAGATACTGGAGTCTGGATGAGGAGATTTCTGTAAAGGATATCTGAGGTGCTGCGGGGCTACAGTAATATCCTGAGCCACCCTCCAGGGCTGAAAGAGGCGAGCTGGGGGAACTGTGGGATGGCCTCTAATTAACGAAAACAGAGGGACCTGCGGCCACTGGGGCGGCTTGTACCAGTGGAGGAGGAGACCGACAGGGTTAAACCCGCCGGAGCGCCTCGTAGGACACAGACTGGACCACACATGATCCACTGAGAGTAACGCAGCCAGAACAGCACTGGCAAAGGGCAGGGCTCTTATTCTGAAATATTGGCACCTATTTCTTTGTAGAATAAAAGTGTTTAAATTAGAGAAGCGTAACAAATGTGAAAGCATATAGGCTGAAGGTGTTCCATGTAAGCCTTCAGAAAAACAGCTCGTATCTGGGTTTCTGCCCCAGGCATAGTGCCCAGTGTCTGACTGTGCCAACATCGTCCACAGCAAGTGTCCCAGACTGCCTTATGCTGCCCCAAGTGTGTGGCTGCATCTGCGTGTACAGTGTACATGCATCTGCCTGTGTGCGTCTCTGTGCATGCATGGGCCTGTGTCTATGTGGTGACTGTGTGTGTGTCTGTGTCTGCGTGCATGTGTCTGTGTGTGGTTAGAGTATGAGTTTGTGTGTGTGTGTGTGTGTGTGTGTGTGTGTAGATATGGTGCGCGTGTGTCTCTGTGTGTGGTTACAGTGCACACAGTCACCCAAGCAGATCAAATCTGTGCCCAAAGAGCAGAAAGCAGATGTCAGATTTTAAAGGACGATGGAAGGCAGAGAGAGAGAGAGAGAGAGAGAGAGAGAGAGAGAGCAACCCACGGCAGCTGTCAATCGCCGAACTGCTCTCAAAGCAGGGAGCCTCACCAGAGCCGCTCGCAGACCGAGCTTCAAGGAGCCGGTGGGGTGAGACAGACACGCTTTTACAGACATGGTCTTTGGGACACAAGACCCCGGGGTAACCATAACACAGGTACAGTGTTTACCACAGAACAGGGACATAAGACTTAGATAAGAAATCTGATCAAATAAAAGACGGCAGTAGTGAAAAGAGCCTAGCAGCACCGTGCTAGACGCCCGCAGTACAGGCACAGGCCACACCCATCTGGCCACATTCAGAAGGTCAGAGGCCCAGACAAACAGGCACAGGCCTCCCTGTCTCCCTGCACACGAGCAAAACACAGTAATATAGATACAATATAAGAGCTGCTTCCCATCTACCTGCCTGCTACCCCACTGCCCCAAAGAAAAAAATAATCCTATAATCCCCGGCCGAGAAAACTTGGCTTTCACTTTTCGGGTTTTATCCAAATTGGTTGGATCTCGGGACTCGGAGCTACGGACAATTTCAGGAAGCCAGCATGTGTGGCAGCTGTATCGTCACAGTCCTGTAGTGGGATCGCACACGATCGGACCTACACCAGCTTAACTCTGAGCATCCAAATTCCGATCGGCCTGCTGAAATCACCCAGCCCCCCCCCCCCCAACCCCCCGCTGAAGCGGGACTGACAGCCGGCAACTCACATTATAAAGGATGTCCACCCAGCCCTCCATGGTGATGCACTGAAAGACAGTGAGCACAGCAAAGAGGATGTTGTCGAAGTTGGTGATGCCGAAGTTGGGGCCGATCCAGTACTCTCTGCATTCCGTGCCGTTGGGGCACGTTCTTGCTGGGGCCTCGGTACCACACGGGAATTCCTCTGCCCGCTCCTCTGTAGACACACACACAGACTTGTAATTATATCTTTGTGGGGACTCGCCATTCATTTCTATGGGGAAATCTCTAATCCCAACATGACAAACTTAACCCCTACCCAGCCCTAACCTTAACCAAAAGTAACCAAACAAAATACAAGACTTCTGGCTTTTAAACTTTTTTGATTGCATTCACAGATCAAATGGTCCCCAACACATAAAAAACAGGTTTTTACTACATTGTGGGGGACATTTGGTCCCCACAATGTAATATAAACGTAATACACACACACACACACACACACACATGCATATACACAGAGCATCCAGTCGATGACTCATTCTGGGGCTTTTTAACAGAGGGAAGACCATTTGCAGTTCTGACCGTCCCCCCCCCCCACAGCCAGCTCCTAAAATAACCGCACGCGCCACCTTCAGCAGCGACTTGTCAGCACCTCTCATGCCACCAACACGCACCGCCAGCCAAACGTGCAACGCCCCCCCCCCCCCCCCCCCCACCCCCCGCCCAAACGGGCCCCCCCCCCCCCCCCCCCACACACACACACACACAAACACACACTTGCCCATACAGTAGAAGTGCCTCAATTTGCTCCATTAACTCCTGCCTGACAAGAATCCCCTCTCCCTCCTCAGACGTCCCCATGAGGGCTTATGCTCCGGGTCGCAGAACCCGGCTCTGGGGCCAGGAGAACCGGAGAATCGAGATTTAAGCAAGGAGTGTTGAATCAGACAAACATAAGCTGCATTTATTCCTTTTCTGAGATGCAAAATACTTACTATTAACATAAAAATCCCTCCCTGTCAAAGGTTCTGCATCCTTTAGAACCGCTGCACGCTCATGACCTTCTGTGTGTGACGGAGGATATTCAGCTGGCTTGTCGTCGTCATTTTGAATCTATTCTGCTTTGATTTAGCATCTTCCCAACACGGTCGCCCCTAAGGCACTCAGCTCTCTGATTTGATACAAAGTCAGAAGGGTATGTCAGTCTGGACAGAGACTGACGTTATGCACCTTTGACAATCTGTGTGGGGGGAGAAAAGGGCAGGTCACCACGGCAGAGAGGAGCCAGAAACTCCCACGGCGGATACAGGAGGAAGCACCCCCAGCATGATCAACTTATATAATCCAGGAATGACTCTGACACAGCACCGTTAAATTGAGCTGACCCCCGCCTTCTGTAAGTACTTGATAAAGATTGATGCTTAAGTCAATACACAGAATCAACAGCAGCTCACCCAAGGATCTGCCAAAGTTTTATACAATAATAAATATATTTGCCCTTTATACAAATACTGAATTCTGTGTTTCTTTATCTTATACAGATACACATGCATATATATATATACATAAATGAATACATACAGATATTTGGGGTCAGAGTGCATAGATCCTTAAATCACAGTCAGAGTGTAATACTGCATATAGCTCAAAATCACATCCAATCATAGATTTTAATTGCAGTACAACAAAGCTACAGAGGTAACAGTGTTACAGTCAAACCTCCCAGATGGTAATTATTTGTCAGATCGTAATGGGTGACGGGTGAGAGGTCTAGAGGTCAAAAGTTGAATTCTGCCATTTCCTGGCAATTTAATCGCAGCCCAAGAAAAAGCCTGATAACGTAAACTCTGACACAGCAGGTACCAGCTGTCAGTGGCTGTCCGGAGAGAAATAAACATCACTAAGCACAGGGACCCATGGATAGCCAGATAGATGCTTTGCTGTAAAAAGGAAAAAAAATGATTCACTGAAGGGGGATAAAGAGCAGAGCTGAAGTACTGTGGCTTATGATAGGCTGACAGGAAGTGAAAGGCGATACAATCGGAACAAAGCAAACAGCCTCGCCTGAGGTGAGGATTCCTGTTTTCCCCCCAACCTGTCATACATGGTTATGAGGCACATCTCAACCAGCACGCTGTCATCTCGACAAAAAAACTAAGCCCTGAATTGTGTGGGAGTGGGTGTTTGGATAAATATCGCACGAACCGGCAAATCGGCTTAGCGGTGGCTGGCCCAGAGTCCACGCTTACGTGACACCGGCTTTGCAGGGGATGACAGCCATCGCCTGGGTGTCTCCAACAAACCCAAATGGTAAAAAAAAACACCTGATGATTTCTGAGATGCTAGTTTGTGAAGACCATCCCCAGAGACCCAACAGAAAAGCATCGTAAAAGGACGCCTCAGTCCTGAATTGCCTTAAACCCCTCCATAAGATAGGGGGCATAAGAGAGGCTATAATTCACACTGAGCATCCAACCTTATTATTCAATAATATGTTTTGAATTGGTGAGTGACAGGAGAGGAGGCAGTCCACCGGCCAATCAGCTTTCAGCCCCTGTGGTCCCGCCCCTGTTAATACCCCTGCATCTACAACCAGGTAGCTTCTTAATAGGGGTGTGGCTTGTCGGCTTGTCACATGACTTATAACAATCTAGGTGGCGATGTGTTTTTTTTGTACTCCTCATTAAATCTAATTGAATGTCTAGGTTGGTTTGGGTGGTGGGGGGGTACATGATGCAGAGTGGTGCTATACAGCAGCTACACCCCCCTGCCCATGACTCAGCCACGCCCTCGTGCGGCGGTCACAGTCCCACAGCCAGACCTCGCTGGGTCAGTCCTGCATCTCAATGCCAGGTTCTGACAGCGAACATCGAACATTGACCGCGGCCAGCAACCAGTGACTCAGAAACTCTGGAGAAGGGTTCAGGAAACAAAGCACTTAATCCGCCCACGGTCAAACCCTGAATCCCTAATTGGTGAGTAATATCCAAGCCAATAACTGCTTAAGTGAAAAAATGCACAGTTTAATAACAATGTCTAATCCCACAGCGGCACCCTAAAGGGGAAGCTCTGGACCTAGAAATCTGTACTTCTGCTCTCAGCCCTCTCACTCGGAGGCCTCTGGATTTTTAAACAAATTTATAACAGGCTTCTGCCTGCCTGCCTTATCTGTGCATTAAAAATGTTGTCCTGCAAACAGCCGTGTCTCCCACACACAAAATGCCCCCCAGAAAAAGGACTGAACGGGAACTAACAAAAGGGCGACGAGGCTATGATGTCCATTTCCTGCTCTGACTCAGCGCAGATAAACTGTTTATATTTAAAGATGAACACTTAATGTGTCATCTAATATCTACCCTGTTCTTTTAATAGTCCATTGCTATTTGTGCTGAATGCTTTTTTATTGTTTTGTTACAAAATATTCAGTGCGATAAACACTGAAAAGCGCACATCTAGTATCTGAGGGATAACAGATCGCAATACACGTCCCACACGCGCACAGACACACACTCACGGGTACACAGGTCTGTCCGTTACCATATTTAGCTGCTATCAGTATGACTGATATTCTGGAGTCACGTGGGGGGAAAAATAAATAACTGATGTGCAGAAAGCTTGGAGGTGGAGTCTCCTCCTATGTAGCACCTGTGCAATTCCACTGACACTTCATCCATAAACCCAGATCATCAGGGTCTGATGGATTTTAAAACCGGAGCCTTCGCTGGTCATACAGGTGTGTATAATCTGGGGGGCAGAGCGGAGGGCAGGGCGGAACCGTACTTGTGTCTAACTTGAAGCAGGTATGGTGGAACTTGCCCATGTAGAACTCCACGCCGATGATAGCGAACATGACGATGGCGAAAAAGAGCAGCAGGCCGATCTGCAGGAGTGGCACCATAGCCTTCATGATTGACTTCAGCACCACCTGCAGGCCTGGAGGTAGAAGAGCAGGTTTCACACATTGACAGAGGCACCAACAGAAACACACACACACACACCAGGCTTTTGAAGCTCATAATCTGCTTTACTTCATTTGGTAACCCAAACTGTGCTCCTGTCCATTCCATGAGTTTCAAGCTCATAAACGTCATGAACTTCAAATGAACTTGGTGATTCTCTTGGTGTCTTCGGCCGTGTCTTCGAGAACATGCTTCCTACATTCTCCATGGGCGTAATCTTTGCCTGGAAATTACCCGGAGCAGGGGGATATAGGCCATGGAAACATGACTAATCTCATCTTTCCCTGGAAAGAAGCGATGGCTTCAGGAGAACTGTACAGACAGTCTCCATGGCTCCCACGCCATGGCAACCACAACACCCAGGACTGGATGGGTTGTAATTACTTGTATGCCTCTGAACACCCTTCCCAGAAGCCTTTGCTCTCAGTCTAGCAAAGATGCAAGAACCTACATCCCCCCACCTAAGCTTCAGGGTCTTCAAACTCCACCAGACCTGATCAGACCTGCATCACACACTCACCTTTTTATGTATGACCTGTTCGATGAACTGAGATGACAATATGTTTATCTCGTCAATCTAAAGCCATTTTTCATACTGTTCAGTGGCTATGCTGCCCTTTAAATTAATGATGTTTAATATCTAAACCTTAAGATCAACAGTATTAAAAGAGAAAGTGATATATATAATACATACAATTGCAATGTATGTTAATAATTACATTAGTTTTGTTATCTCTTTTGCAGCTTTTTGCTTAATTACAATTCTTTTGTTTTATTACATTGAGAACTAATTAATTACTGTACTTAATCTGTCCAAAACTGGCAAGTGTGGTTTCTGTTCAAACTAAACACTTAATTGCAGTAATTATTACTCCAAGGTTTTAAAGCTTTTATTTCACTGCAAAACTATTGTGCTGTTTTCCAAATTGGTGAGTCAGTGTAGCTGGGAACTGGTCGTCCTTTGTAAGTCAGCAGTGAGCCCCGTGGTGACCATTGCACATGACTTACTGGGAATCCCTGACACCAGTTTCAGTGGCCTCAGCACACGCACCGCCCTCAGTGTCCTCAAGTCAAACTGCGACCCCAAAGTAGTCAGAATCCTGCAAGGACACAAACAGTGTTTTGTTAGCGATGCCAGGTCCCAACATGAAGGGCAGCCATACCTGTGACCAAGGGGTCATCACCAAGTGGACATGTATATGAAAAGCACGGTTATGAGGGCAGTAGGAAATGGTCTCTTCCTATTGGACAAATCCCTCTGAGGACTTCCCTTCAATGATCAACTCCTCCACACCTGATTGGGTGGTTCAACCCCTCATCCAAAATGCCAGGCAGGCATTTCGATGGCTTTGAGCTTTCCGGAGGGAAAATGTTCTCCGGCTGAATATTGACCACGATAACTGTGATGAGTCACTGGTGGACAATAAATAGTAAGAATCAATAAATGTCACCAATCACTCAATCATTCATCCATTGCAATAACCTCACATCCAGTGTAGGGCTGTGGTGAGTCAGGAGCCTATCCAACACGGGACATAAGGCTGGGGACACCCCGTCTGGGGACACCCCGTCTGGGCACCAATCCCCCACAAGTCATACACTCACAATTGATCGAACAGAAACACAGAACAAATTAAAAAGATGATAAAAGAACACCTATTCATTTTCGGTCCGTTCTGCCTTTGGCTCTGTGGCGCTGACAGATAGACAGTAAGACCCAACACCAATCTGGCGACACCTCAGGACACACCTGTCCCCAGTGCCTGTGTCCGCTGGCCGCGGAAATAGACAGGAATGCGACTCACATTCCCTGGAGGTCCAAACGCTCTGGATCTCTTTGGAGAATCCTTAGCTTACAAGTTAAACGAAGGCGTACGCGTGTTTTAGACAAAAGGGCTGGAGAAGATGAGGGTACAGGCTCCCGCCCAGTATCTAGTGCTGTAGTTCTCGAGACCGGTCTTGGTCTCGAGACCAATTTTTTGTTGTCTCGGTCTTGTCTTGGTCTCGACCCTATTTGGTCTCGGTCTTGTCTTGGTCTCGGACATAATGGTCTCGATGGGATGGGGGAAAAAAGAGAAAACAGCACATCCTTACAGAACAGTATCATTACTCGCCTCAATTCAAATGCAACCAGTCAGATGCATCTACTTTAAAAAC